AGGTACGCTTCAAGGGAGTCAAATCCTATGAAGAAATCAATTAGAAAAAAAATTGCATAAAATACTTAATTTTATGAAAATAAATACGTGTGGGCAAAGGTTTAGAGACTTTGAGTCATTTTCATGCGGCGTGCAAACCTGCCTTTGCTTGTAGGAGACAAAGTGTAAGAGGGGTAAGAAAGTGTAAGAGAGGAACGTAAGCTGATAACAAACCAACATAGAACATGGACTGGATGTTTAAGAAGAAAGTCGATTGCAAATGACGAAGCTGGGCTAAAATATTCGAGAGCCACGATGCATGAGGTAGATCCATCCATTAAAAAAATAAAGGAGATCTAAAACAAGATAAAGGCACTGTAAAATGTTGTTACAAACTGAAGTTATTTTTTTCCTAAGGAGTCAGTGCCGAAGTTACCAAAATGGGTCAATGCTTACCTTGGGTATCATGCTCAACCAATTGGCTGCTGTGGTATGCAAGGTTCTCATCCAGGCCGGACGCGGGTCACTCTCTCTTCTCTTTCTGTTGTAAAAAATTTTGAAGCATAATTAGAACGGTGTTCATTTGAGAGAAGAAAAGCTTAAACCAAAGACCAAAGTCATTACCGCGGTTCGCATCACCATTAGCTAATGAGAACTCAAAGTGAAAACAAGCAAACTGCTTGAAGCGCGGGAAAACGCGAATGACCACGCCGCTGATGTTTTAAGTCTGGCATCTGATTGGTTGAGGTGGTGACGCTAGTTTCCAAGACCAATGACGGAGCGAAGAAATGTGAAACCAAAATATTTCGGATAACTGTCGATATTCAATTGGAAACTGCGGCGGTATACAGGACTGAAGAGTGGATGCAATTTTGCTCTCCACCGTTTTAACTTTCAATCTGATTGGCCCCCACATTTATCATATCAATCAATACACTTCCCCTGGGGGGTTTAAGTTTCCATATCTCAGCCAGGTTGGCTCACAATCGATAAAAAAATTGAGTGAGATAACTCATTTCATCCAACCAATTTGATTAACGAATTTACTTTTAGACGTTCAGGTAATTCATTAAATGTAATTAAATTGCATTTTTTACGTTTAAATCAATTTTTTTTAAGAACAAAAGCGAAAACAAATAGTCGTGAAGTACCAGTTTAACGGATGTGTAAAGCTCAACATGATAACGTTAACGATACAAAATTTTATAATACCAGAGTTTAAATTGTCATCTAAAAATACTTGAAAATTAAGAGAAAAGTTACATTTACAACATTGATTTTAGACGCAAATAAAAGAAAAAGCTTTTCAAAATAACAAAACAATAATAAAATGACGAAACAAAAGCGATATGAAAATGAAGCCTGTTAAAAAAAAAAAAGAAAAACTGTGTGATGCAGACACTCGAGTTCTTGCAAACTTACCACATTTCAAGCTCGTGCGTTAAGTAACATACGTGAAGAGTAACAGATGCGTTCTCGTTTAGGAATATTGGCTCATTTACCTAAACTGCCCTGGTATCTCAAGCTTTACTTCGATTCCCTTACTGTACTGGCTCAAAGCGCTTTATTCCAGACGATTTTGGCAACCGACATTAGCCTCTTGGCCAATCACAGCAAGCGTACTATAATTTCCATTTTATAAAGCCTTTACTTACTCATCGTCACTTCCATACACGATAGGTGGGAACACGGCTTCAAGCGGCTGCCCTGGGCTTTAAATAAAACGTTTAACATGCATGAAATTTGAACGTTGCAGAAGCAGAACAGATTTCGAGGAATCGAGCAGAGATCGAGAAACAAGATTGAATTTAGCTGTCGCGTTTTACAATTCGCAGAAGAAATCACCTCGCCAGTTCCAAAGACTTGTTAAACGATGTTATAGCCACGAGTGAAAGATGTCAAGAATCCCACAGCATTGAAAGCACCGCTAAACCCTCGATAAATACTTGAAGATTCCCACGAAAAGCTACTTTCTCAGTTGCGTTAAACGATCAAGATTGATCAGATTATAGTCCGATCTAATTCGAATGGGATAATCGCTCCACGTATTAGACATAAGCTGTTAAGAGAATCATAACATCAGCGAGCATGTGCAATACAAATGGATTGTGATAAGTGGTTATGAAAAACAAAGAAATGACAGTGGTTAAAAGATTTCAAGAAAAAGAAAAGTGAAAAAATAATAGGGCAATTCACATGACACAGAACACTTTAAAAAAAACATTATCAAATGTTGAACATTTAAGTCGACAGAACGGTGTATGTTCGTTGATAGTTAAATGTTCCATACATCACAAATCTACCACACCGTTGACTCACGATTGCAACGATTTAATCATGTTTAGTATAATGATCGAAAGAAAAAAATACGTTACTTTTATCAGGGTATAATTTAATAAGTCATTTAATCAATTCTATCCAATTTTATTCGCTAAATTATTACCTGAGTAATTCGTTTATAGGAATGTTTGATTTTCATGTTCAAAATCAATATCTCAAAGTGAGTTTCTGTGTATTTGTTTTAATAGACGACGAAAGAATTTTGATTCACATCAAATCTATAAACATTAGCCTCAATTCCAATCTACCGGGGCCAATCACTTAATAACGTATGGAGTTTAAAAAGGTTACTTGGATTTTAAGAATAACTAATCAATAATCAAAAGCTATTAACAACGACCCATAAAGAAAATAATAAAACCGCGTTAAAAAACTCTATGCCAAAAATATGACATTATGATGTAATTTCCAACAATTTTTCTGACATCACGGCCATATCTTACCTAGCGGAGTCTGGGGAGTAGGCCAGCTCATCGTCATCACTCAACATTTGCATCTTCAGCAGCTTCGTAACCATGTCCTGACCTGCATAAAAATCGCCTCTGATATCATTAAATTCTCAGTAGAGAGAGAGAGAGGAGTGGAAAAGAGAGGGTTACAAACGTTTAATATTGCTTCCAGTTTCGATATATATATATAGACATATAGTAGTAAATGTGTACATGTTCTAACCTTGTGTGGTGAGCAGCACTTTCTCAGCATTGTTGGGCAAGCCGAGCCAAGAGGGAGACTGGGCATCAGGAAGAGCTTCAGTCCATTGTAGAAACTGTTCTCGCCTGAGTATAAGGTTCAAAGAGAGAACGTAATGGTGAACTATTTTAAAAAACAACCATGTGTGAAAGTCCATGGAATTTTGACTGTTAGATTTTTCCAACACTGAACCGCTCGGAGAGAAAAAGTACTTTTTGATGGTGTGTTTTCTTACCTAATTCCTTCTGGCATAACGATCTTTTTGCCTTTTTCACCATCCACATCAAGAACCAACGGGAAGTCGGATTCAAAACTGCTAACGGTGAACAGGCGAGTCACAAAAGAGGTCATCAGACGCTACAAGAAACAAAGTTGAAATTATACACAAGCTTGAAAAAAAAAAAAACCTTCGTCCCAGAAAACTACTCTCCAAAACCAAGCGTCACACAGCACTACTCTTCAACGGATAGTAACAGGGAAAGGCGATACACGAAGCTTGACATAGTGCTACACTAAATAACAGAATGACGGGTTGATCTTACAAGACGAACGTGACGATTCAGAGAGAAGAACGAAAGTTTAAACCTGATCAAAATCGTTGTCAATTCGTCCGCCATAAATTGCTTGAGATAGCAACGCTTGAAGTGCATCCCATGGAACCTTGTTGGGAGGCAGGTTTGTTCGACCCTGTTAAACAAAAAGTAAACAGAAGAAAATACTTTTAAGTGAATGACACAGGCATACTGGGAGAAAAAAGAAGTCCGACTGCTTCCAATCTGAGTCGAACCCTACGATCTTCCGATCAGTACTTCGGATACTCTGCCACTGAGCTATAGGAGACTCATGGCAGATAAGGCCGCTAAGCTAGGTCCTGCATACTGTTAGGATAGGAATGTTGATGTGTGATACTTATGCGCAATGATGATGTAAATGAAGATGATGAATTTGAGGCGGGGTGTTTGAAAAGAAAGAAGGAAAAGTAAATGGTTTGAGTACGCAAAAGGAAGACAAGTTAGAAAAGTCTCTCGCACTTGCTTCACTTCTAAAGTTATTGGACTTGAACTGACACGCACCTGGGCAATGGCGTCCAGCCAAGTATCCAGTGTATCACAAGCGACTCGCAGATCAGACTCACTGAACTCATAACGTTTGGACCATCCAAGGGGTACATAGCGGAGACGTTCTTGAACAATGGCATGGAACCAGGCCAATAAGAAGTAGAGGCGGGCTCGTTCACTAGGAGCCTGGTACAAAACATAACAATGATACGTAAGTCAAAGGAGCTAGGCTACAACATATCAAATTGCTCACTAAATTTATTTAACGGAGTCCGTAATTTATCAGTTAAGTAGGATAAAAAAGCACTCTAGAGGAGAAAATAAACTACAAAGGAACAACAATAGCTGAGGATGGAGACGAGTGAAACGGGTTGGAAATGAAGACGCATTCTGGGACCTATTTTTCAAGATGGACCATGACATTATTTGCTCTACTGAAGTAGTAGAGGTTATGACTGACCTTGCACATCCTGGCGGCTGGTACAGCGCTGAAGGTTCTAAGTAGATTGGCCTTCACGCCTGGCGGAGGTTCGAACACGAACACACGGGAAGCTCTCAGTAAGTTAACAGGAACCTGACGTTGGACAAAAACAGAACC